AACAGCAGTAAAACACTGATTTCTATTTGTATCAAGCACATATTTCCATGATGAAGAGGGGAATAATGAGGGCTGAAAATTGTACAGAATGAGTATACATTTCAATTTGTCAAACTTTGGATAAAATTTGCAGTGAAAAACATGTTGCAATCAAGGACAAACCAAGTATCTTCCAAAAACAGCCCCCTTTTCAGCTTGTGCATTATTCAAACAATACAAATTCTAAATGGATTGTTTCTCAACCCAAAAGGATCCTTTGGTTCATCTGAAATTTTCAAAATGGCCAGAGCAAGGATTTTCATTTCTGGGCTCCTTTTTATGCCTTTAGTTGGGAGACAGGACAGTGGATGGAGTGGGAAATTGGCACCCCTCAGAGAAAGGATTTGTAACTGAATGTTTACACTTGGAGTGAGAGAAAGTTGCATTCAGTGCATTTAAATCCTATTGATTAGGAGATCACATTTCTGTGAATGTTTCAGAAGTGCAGGAACAAATTTTTTTTTTGGAAAGTAGGTTAGGTTTATAGGCTCAGTATAGTATTGGATTTCTCTAAGGTTCAAACAGTGGCAAGGGTGTCAGGCTGTACAGGCTTAAACTAGCGGTAGGCTATTCAATTTATCTCAGTGATGGGATATGGGTGTTGCTACATAGTGAGCGGTCTGCCAATTGCCTGTCAGAGTAACGCTGAGGGTTCGAACACATGGCTCGCCTGCCTGGTCTTCCTTGTTTTCAATTGTGGAAGATGGAGGGACAAGGAGGCTGATCTGGACCATTGAGATGCAGTCAAGGGAAACAGACTGCAGAATCGGTTGCCTTGCCAACCAAGCCCCTTGGAGTGCGAGGGTTAAATGTAAAAGACTCTCTGCCAATGCAAATATAGGTTGCCATCTGTTTTCATTACACTTCTTTTGTTAGATATTTTAAAACCTCCAAGAATGGTGTAGGTGTTCAGATCAGTGGAGCTTTAAAGTCATTAGATTTGATGTGAAAGCAATGTGCACCTGGGTAGTGACAAGAACATCCATATGCCTCCAAAGGTGTGAGAATATGATGGCATGTGAGATCCAGATATAGCACTTCTTCATATACCCATCCAAGCAGGTAAATTACACTTCACTTCACAGACACTTTTATCCAAAGTGACGTACATCACTAATCCAGTCATACACCGCCACAGTAGCAGCGGGAGCAATGCGGGGTTAAGTGTCTTGCCCAAGGACACATCGGACATGTTGCTCAGCTGGGTATCTAACCCTCAACCTTTCGGTTGAGAGGCAACGACTCTACCAACTGAGCCACAGCTGCCCACAAATTGTAACATTTTGAATATTGTGTTAATAGTTTGTTAGAATTATTGATTTTTCTCATGTAAAGCTTGCACTCATTATTTCTGCCACTTCTGATGACTTCAGAAAACTGCACTTCCAATGTTAGATAGAGATTTTCTCTGCCCGTAATTAATTCTTAGTTTATATCATAGGCTTTTAAACATAATCCATAAAATGTTGAGTATGTCACACAGCATAGGTTAAGGATAAAATTGTCTTCTCAATTGCCAGGCAGCTAAAACACTAGATGCCAATTTTAACTCTGCATGGAATTCAAAAGAAAACTTCTTGTAAATTGATAAAGTTTTGTGGTCAACATAATTTGAGTGTCTGACTATTAATCGAGTCGACAGAGATATGGCGAAGGGAAGAAAACAGCAAACATGTTGCTTAGGAACAGAGAGAAATAACCCGAACTTTTCTTGAAGCATTTGATCTTATCTCCCTTGGTGGGTAAAGCCTGTATGTGTGTGTGTGTGTGTGTGTGTGTGTGTGTTTTACACGGGGTGGTTGGGGGAGTCAGGTTCAGCGGAGGTTGTTTCTAGGCAACAGTTTTTTTTTTCTTTTCCATGAAACTAGTTTGTTTTGCTGTGTTTCTACCGTCTGCTTCTAATGAATATGAGGCACTTTTTTTTACTGATCAATTTCCTCATCATCTAGACGGGGTTGACTTGCTCTCTGGTGTCTGACCCAGCACATCTTTGATTAAAAAAAAATGATGATCAACAGTCAAGCTCCTTCCTGCCATTTGGAAAAGGTTCCCACATTCAGTACAGCTGAATATGTGTAGCTATATAAAATAATATCAGCACTTGTCATAAGCTGTTTGCAGAATGAATGCTGTATGTTTCGTAAAAATGAGTAGAACATTTAAACATGGTGGTATTACTTTTATTTTCTGTCCAAATAAGAAAAATTAAGATTTTTGCACTTTGACATTTTGTTTGTTGTTAAAACTAATGTGTGCAATTATTATTATCTTTTTCATGCCTGCAGCGGCCACTGTGAAATTTAAATAATTGATCAATCTGAGGGAGGGCTGGCCTGCTGCCCAGCTCTCCCTCAGATTGGGGCAGTAGGTTCAATCAGCTAATCAGCAAAATTTGATCTGATTTGCTAAGAAGCAAATCAGCTTCCACAAAGTTAACAAACAAACAAATCATTCTTTTTTATTTGTTTCATGAGTGATATTGAGCCCGATGCACAGTTATTAGGAAAACATTTGTGTGTAAAGCAGCTTGAAATGGCACCTTGTGACATTATCACATTTTGCTTTAATTAAAGTTGCATTTGTGAGTCTGTGCATGTGTACATTTGTGTGTGTGTGTGTGTGTGTGTGTGTGTGTGAGAGTGAGTGCATGTGAGTGCGTGCATGCGTACAGATTCATTTCCAGGAATTGACTCTGCCTCACCTTATGCATTTATACATTTTCCCAGTTTCATAAAGTTTTATTGAATAAGTGAAGCGATGTTCCCCACAGTTCACATGAGGTAATATAACAATAAATGTATTTCAGTACAGCTAAGTGGAGAAAAAACATACACAGCAAAAACCTACCGTATTATTACAAGCACTTTGACAGTGCAGGCGGAGCAGCAACTCATCACAGCCTTTACCCTTTTACACACACATGCACACATGCGCACACACAACAATGATTGTGCTGATGTCTGTTACAGTAGAAGCGCTTTGAATTGAGTTTTAATTGGCTCATGTGTGAGGTGTTTAATTGGGGGCTTTGAACTGGATGCTTCAGGTGGAAACCTGTGGCAGTTTCTGTGTTTTGTCAAACCCTAATTAAAATCCTCTTTGCCAGAAGACATGGCCTCTACATCAGCCAAATGCTGTGTGTGTTGGAGTGGAGACAACCTACAGCTTTCACTAAAAACGATTCACAGGCAGCATCACTTTAATCTTTAGTCTTATTTTTCAAAATTTACTTTTGGGCTTTTAGACTTTATTTAGGTGGATAGGGAAGTGTATAGAGGAAATTTGGGAGATAGTGCGGGAACAACATGTAGGTATAAGGAGCTGCAGGTTGGACTTGAACCAGGGCTTCCCGCTTGGAGGACTACAGCCTACGTACATAGGACGTGACCTAACAGCTAGGCCATCATAGTCCCTCTTCCTAAGTTTTTAAAAGCCTATACATTACAATCCTTGACTGTGTTTACACTGACAACAAAAATGCAATCAACTTTTTGCTTGCTTAAATGCAATAATACAAAAGTAAAAATTCCCTATATAGGCCTACATAAACCATCACTCCTTCTCTCCAGCTGGTAACCTGTTGCTTTACAGTGACTCCTTCATATGTGATTTTCCACTCCACTATCAAGTTTCAGCAGGGAATACTTCCAATTAAAGAAGCAAAATGCCATTTCATAGGGACTTTAATTGTGGCACCACTCTGACGTTGAACCACTGGAGTCTATTTCAAAGCAATGTCCCAGAATGATTAAAAAGGAATAAGTCCTTGGCCTAATTCACGTGCAGTAAGAAGAAAAAGATGCTTCGGTTTGGATGGTTTGGAAAACCAGTGTGTATGTGTAAGAAAACAAATTGTGCATTGTCTTTTAATTCTAATGGGCTTCTGACACAAACTTTGCAGGGAACTTATCATGTTTTTGAATCTATACATGGAGATGGAGATTTCATAAAGAAATAAAATATTCTGTGGATACTTTAGACATTATATGAGATTCATATTTACTATTGTCTCTTGTGATTTCTCTTCATCAAGTTTGTGTTGTGGTTCAGTTTTTAGGGAGAGTTGACTTTTGCAGAGCAGAAAGAACAATATATCTGAGAGTTAGACACTGCCCTCTGTTGGAAGAAGAATAGAACTACAATGTACTGCCAACATGACTTATCTCTCTTTCCTGTCACACACTTTAGCAGTTTTGTGATGAGTCATTGAAATCAGTGTCAAAAGATTTTCAATTAGGCTACTTGTTTCCATGGAAGAAAAATGTGCATCCTCATATCATTAAATATGGGCGTGTATTCGTTGCTGTTCGTTGCTGCCCGTCCCATCTGACTCTTTTTCAATTGCACAAACATGTTCAGGCAAGAAGTCAAAAGTCATATTTCCCAAGTAAAGCTTTTACATGGTTCCTCCCCAATGAGTGGGGTGAGCACAAACTTCACTCTCAAGCCGTTATAAAAGAGAGTCCAAGATATTAGGGATGGGAGATTTAGTAAAGTTAGATTAACATTTTTTATTTGTATGCACATTCCCCTATTTACTCTTGATGTCTTGACAACAATCATTCTAAAAAGACTGTGTTTTAAGTGTCCGCAGCCATTATCAAACATCTCTCCATTCTGTCTTCTAAACGTCCTGGACTAAAAATGAGGAAGAGTAGGCTACGTTACCTGTTTTGGTAGAGTTCAATATTCAAAATCAAGCTGAGTAATGTTTTTTTCTGTACAAAGCTGCCTACCAGCTTTGATGTTGTGCTCACAACTTATTTACACAAGTGTGAAAAAATAAATAAATCAAATACCTTGTTTCAAAATCGAAGACTGCAATGTTTGGAAACTGATGAAGAGTCTGCAGAAACCTGTCAGGTAAAGCTGCTACAAAGGACCATAGACTAAATATTACCAAGGGCCCAGAGTGCTTCGTGCGCAGCCGCAGTGGTGCGCCACTGTCCCTCAGTGGGCGGGAATAAGAGGTCACGTGACAGTGGATTTAAGAAGCCGTCATGTGGCTCCTGAGACCGACCGTGTTGTTAGGTGCGTTGGGCAGCAAAGGATTGGTAAGAGGCATGGTGAGTGTAAAGACAATATTAATATCTGTCACTTTGTGTGTATTCTAAGGGTATTACATTAAAGTAAATATGTTACCTGCATGCTGAACGATGTGTAGGTCAAATGAAGATTTTCTATTTTTAAATGCTGTGTAGCAAGTAAATAGGTCCGGTGTTGACGCAGCAGAATGATGCTAGCTTAAGGATGTAAGATAAAGGCTCACGGACGGTATCTAATTTTCGGTTTATTACTTTCAGTTTTCCACAGACAATTAACTCAAACATCTCGGATTTTCTGTGATGAAAGTATGACTGGTTTGGTAGTTGTCAGCGCTCGACATAAAGGGATACATGTATATGGCGATAACTGTGCCAATAGTTCTGAACATTGGTGATGTTCAATAACATCAGACAACCATTGATGATATCCGTATAACGCGTCCACTATTTTAATATGATCAAACCTCTAAATTGTGTTTCTATGTGCCGACTTCCCTCAATCCTTAGTGAGATGGCGTTTTTTTGCATGAAGGTGAGTAATTGTGGACTGTGCAGTCTAAACCTGTTTGAGTCACGTTATGGTGAAACAAATAGGCCAAAGTGCACTTGGTAATAAACGGGGCCACGGTTAACATCCTTTCATCTAATCTACTTGCATGTGTCTTACTAGGCTTGAGCTTACTTATTGCCCTTTGGTCTGTTTTACTTATTGCCCTTTGGTCCGTTTTCGTTGTGTTCATCTGTGACACTCTACAAACCCTTAGCTGTATTACTCATCGCTCACACTTCCCTATACATATTATTTGTCCTTTTCCCTCTTTACAGTGTGCTCAAGCAACCGACTGGCAGAGTGCCAAGTCGATATACGAGTTTTCTGCCGATGATATTGATGGGAATGAGGTTTCCCTGGAAAAATACAGGTATTAAATGTTAATGAGATGGATAGCTTATTGATGTTTGAATGTAAGCAGTATAAAGTAGAAAATAAAAGAGCTTTCATTTACATATGTTTGCTTAATTTAACTTCTTGTTTGCTCTGTTTTTGTTTTGCCAGAGGATATGTGTGCATCATTGTAAATGTAGCCTCTAAATGAGGAAGACCAAGGTAAACTACACTCAGCTAGCGGGAATGTACGCCTCGTATGCTGAGAAGGGTTTACGCATCCTGGGCTTCCCATGCAACCAGTTTGGTGGACAGGTAAAAAAATCACTCATGTGATAATAGCTTTATGTATTTTTAATTGCTTTATTTCACTCTTTAATATTGTCAATGTTTTTTTTAATAACAAACTACTCTTAAATGGTTAAACTACAGCTTGTTCATCTTAAAACTTCCACCAGCTCAACGCTCTTTTTATTGAAGAGACTAAACTCATTAATAGTATTGTCATGCATGAGTTCTGGTTAAAATGTTAAACGAGACCTGGGGCCGTATTCACGAAACCTCCGAAGTACTGATTGTTACTTCTAGTGACAAAATACTCCGAATCATGACATTATCTTAGACTTTCCATGTAAACATGAAGTTATTCACAAAGTGTCTTAGTCACAAAGAGAGCTCCTAAGGAGTAAAACTGTTAGGAGTGGTGATGAGGACTTTTAACAGTCTTAAGAGTAGAGAAACTGGAGAAATGTTCTACGAAAATGTCATGAAGTATATTCTTATTGAATCATAGTTGGGCCAAACAGACAATTATTTATGCAGGCAAATCAATCCACCATGACATTACTCAGTGCAAAGTTAGACAGGCATGTTTAGTTTCTCTACATGTGGTTAACTCACAGGTGCATCCAATCACTGATTAAAGCTCTTCACATGCTGATGCTGCTGCACAAGTGGTCATGTGATTGCAAACATCTTGTAGGCTATATTAAATATGTCTTATGATGTTAACTTCATAGTATTAATGATTACACACTGTCTGACTACATTATATGCTTGGGCCTAATCTACTTCACTGTCTGTCTATCTGTCTTTACCTCTTATCAATGAGAGCTTTTTCTCAATTTGTTTGCATCAACCAATCACAGCTTCTGAAAGTGTCATACCTAGTCAAGGGGTCAACCACACCTCCTCACAAAGATAAAAGTTTTCTCTCTTCGTTGCTCAGAGTTGCTCTGAGACTGTTGCTAAATCACTCCTAAGCTCCAATTTCCTATTTCCCTCTTTCTGTTTACGGTAATATGTTTTTGAGAAGGATTGTTGATTAATTAAGATGCACTAATAGAGAAAATGTGCCATATCCTGTTAATTTGCAAAACTTCCATGTTAAATTTGAATCTTGTTGTTTTTTGTGATCTAGGAGCCAGGGACTAATGAACAGATCAAAGAGTTTGCCAAAGGTTACAATGCTGAGTTTGACCTCTTCAGTAAGATTGATGTGAATGGTGACAATGCTCTCCCTTTGTGGAAGTGGATGAAGGCGCAGCCCAAAGGCAAAGGAATGCTGGGGAAGTGAGTTGTTACCATGTTTTTTTATATTTATTTAGTTAAACAGTCTATCAGTCATGATTGAGTATACAGAATTTAAGTGAGCATGCATTTAATTTGTATTCATTAAGAATGTGAACTGTCATATGGATAAAAGTGTCTGCTAAGTGAATTGTAACTTGTAACATATCCTGTTGAAGTTTTCTATTGCTTCATCACACTCCTGTCTTCCTCTTCTAAAGTCACTTTGGTTGAATCACAAGTTTTTAGACTATCGTTTAGATAATGCTTTCTTAATTTTTCCATTAATTTCTTTATATCATCTTGTGGTTTTGTTCATCGTATTCTTTTACAGTATGATTTCTTTTAATGGAGTAATATGAAAGATATCTACTGAATTTAATCATAAAATGACCGTACTACATCATCAGACATTGAGGAAACATGTTACGTTACCAGCATGTCCTCCTAAGTGTAAATTCCAGTCAGAATTGGGCTGTATTTTAACTAGTTTTGACCAGAGAACTAGACAGTTTTAAATCACCTCCAAAACCAGAAACGTAGTAAAACTAGGATAATAGAAGAGGAAACTAGTCTATTTATTCTAATAAACTAGGATAATTGGTTTAAAGACCAAAAGCGGATTCAAAAGCATCTAAGTGAATTGTAACATCGTAACCAATGCAGAGCTGACTGAAGCTTCCCCCGTTCTCAAAATGGCAACCCACATGCGCATCTACTCTTGGGAGAAGGGGATGGGAAGAGGGGCTCTCAATGTCTTAGCTTTGGACTGCAGTACCCATTTTAAATGCCACCCGTCGGTTACATATTGCTCCTTTGAAAACTAGTTGCTCTGACTCTGTTACATCACCTTAAATATTAAACTATAAAGATACCCAAGAAATTGATGCAATTTTGTAATCTTGATAAAAATGTTTTGTGTTTTCATTTTCACATCAAAGAGTCACTTAATTTATATGTAAGAGGTTGTTTCCAATTGGGACCAAGCTGAGTCATGACTGACCAATAACTCTGTTCATCAGTGAGGAAGTTAAGGCAGTGTTGTTGTGATGTAATACAAGTTTTTTTTTTCCTCTCTTCACAGCAACATCAAATGGAACTTCACAAAGGTGATTTTAATAAGCTGTTTAATCTACTTTTCATATTCAGTAGTGTGTTGCTTTCTTGTTCTTCCCCAAACCTGATTAAAGTAATTGTGCTAATATTTTGATGTTTAATTTCTCCAGTTTCTGATAAATAGAGAAGGACAGGTGGTGAAGAGATACGGTCCAACAGACGATCCCAGTGTAAGTGGCTTGTGCTCTGAAAGTACCAGTAATACAACATTTATTTATTTACCTCTGTGGGCATTCATGTTGGCTTTTTTTTTAACTGTAGCCATTATTTTTACAGATTATGAAAGATGGTTATATTTACTGTGGTTTAAAAAAAAAAAAAAGGATTACAAGAGTAGAGGAAGTGGTAGTTTATAATTCCTTTATCAGATTTGTGCCCTTTTGTCAAGTGTTATATCTTCACATCAGACCGTTTTTCTCTGTCCGTGGTGCTTTTCCCTGCTCACCATCTCGCTCAGTAAGATATCTTCTTATTTCTTTCTGCAGGTTGTTGAAAAGGATCTCCCTACGTACCTGTAGTACTGCTGTTTACCATGTGTTTTGTCTGACTCCTGACCTCTCTCATGGACTCAAGGGTGTTGATGTGTGTATCTGGACCAGTGACGGCCTGTCTGTAAACCCATTACTGGGTAGGGCAAGCCTGATGATCCTCAGCGTGCAACAAAACTCCAGAACCACCCACACCAAACCCATAAGACCATGAGAGAGGACATTCGCAAGTTTTTGTAGTAGAGACTCTCCACCTTTCACTTACTGCAAAATAGAAATGGCTTTTCCTTTTTAAATACCAACTTAGAATTCCTAAATGTTAAGTACCAGGTTTGTTCATGTGTCAACGTCAGTTTCTTTAAGAACATAAGATGCCATACATTGCTCTGATTGTTGAAAACTACTGATATTGTTTGCACTTATTTCTGTAACTCATGACTTATCTGTAAAAAAATGGAAAATAAATGCTGTCTTGAACATTAAATTGTCTCTTAACATGTCCATATTTAATCTAATTGAACAGTAGCTCTCCGGGTGAAATTTGGAATTGTTACTGAAAGTTTTTATGTATATTATAGAATGTTTACCACAATACCATTAGAGTGGATAAAGTATAAGCAACCATTTTATGAGTTTGACCTTTAGTCATTATTATAAAGTGTATTTTTTTTTTTTATAGCACTTTTCACAGATGGGTCACAAAGTGATTTACATCCACAAAACAAATGTATAATGAGAACAGGACATGCTATAATCAGGAACAATAATTGACGAGATGGGTAGGGAGTTCCAGATTATTGGTGCTGTTGGTAGAGTGTTTACCTCAAGCGTAAGGTCGAGGTTTCAATCCCCAGCTGAGCAACATGTCAGATGTGGCCTTGGATTTAACCCTGCTGCTTCAGTGGTGAAAAAAAAATTCTAGAGCCTGACTACAATGTACTGACTTGTTGTTTCTTATTATTATATAAAGTAACTATTATCCAGTTTATCTAATGGTACCTTTTTTATTTATTTTTTTAAATATGATTTCAGGAGCCAATTGAGCAGCAAATAGGGCCCTATTAATTATTCTTTTGATATAGGCTACATTGGTATGTGTTAATGCTTCTGCTTCTGTGTAAACACTTCACTGCAGAAAAAGATGAAACGTTAAGAAAAAATACGATTTTAAAACCTTAAAAGTCACAAATTGAAGTATTTCAATTTCTAACAAAATACAAAAAAACGAATCAAACCTTGTTTTTTTGTTTTTTTATAACATATTAAACCTAGTCGCCTCCTTTCCCATCCACTGTAAAATAAAAAGCGGTGCGATGATCTACCGCTCAAAGCGCTACTCGTCATGATGCTGTACGTTGCGTGAGAATGATGACGCACTGTAGCGGCAGAGATGATCAGCACCGCTGGATATGAACGTGTGGCTAAGCTTGGTTAAGCACGGCGACAACAATACTGTCGTGAAATGATTTAAATGTAGCTTAAAGCAGGGAAGATGGGGAAATGACAGGATTTCTACATCCTTTCTCAGCGCTCACCACCTCATCTTCTTGTCATTGAGGAAGGTATCTGCGCGTCGTCGTCAGGAACCGTCCGGGAGATGGACGGGGGGACTGCGGAAACCGGGAATGACGGGAGGACGAGTGAGGAGGCGGGCGCCGACCTCTGTTTACAGCTTGACCTGAGGACACCGGTTTGTATGACTCATTTTGCGTTAAAGTCATGCAGGCCTAATTTCGGTCAGCAGCCGAGTCTAATCATTTTGGTGGGTTTGTTTAAACCTCGCTTCCGGTGACAGCAGGTTCACTGTGGCTAGACGTGTGGGCAGCATCTTACTATACATCATTTGAAATTGTCAAAGCACGTTTACCTTAAATATTACCTTAAACATGTCATTAAAGCGGCGAGTAACCTTTTAAATAGAGGAACCTAAGCTGTGGAGATGAATAATAAATTGCTCGGTTAGATGACAGTGTCAAGATACAAGTCAGTGCTGCTCTGTTTTAAATGGCCCACAGTTGTTGTTCACTGCAGGGCTTGCACACACACAAGGTGCAAATTAGTGATGTTTACACACCATTACACGAGACCTGACAAATATGTACTACACAGGGATGACTGTTGCATATCTCCAGAATGACTGTGGAGCTGTGTACATGTAGGCTCCACACGTCCAGTACATCATTTGTATGCAAAGCAACTACAACACATACTCTGCACCCTCAGGTGTCAATGCTCCTCTCTTCAACATCTATCTGTCTCAATTATTCTTACCAACTCCTTTTTTGCTCTTCCAGGCTAAATCTAAAAAGGGCTTTACATAATCTGATATGGAATTATATTATAAACCACACACTAATCCCTTGTGGGTATCAATTCCAAGCGTCTCTGTGGATGTCATGGCTATAAATATGACAGAATGTGCATGACCACTTTATGAAATGTATGTGCACATTTAAAAAAAAAAAAAAAAAGACTTAAGGGGGTCCCACATGTTGTTTGTGCATTGTATGTGTATGCTCATATATATAAATGTTGCATATGGATAATTATTATTAAATCCACCAGATTATATTTGTGTGCAGAAAACCTCTGGGCATGAAACCCGCTTCTGCATTGAGTGTCACATTAATGTTACAGCAACAAGCTGCCACTTTCTCAGCTAAGAGAGATATCTAATCCTCTTTACTTATGACACACACAAACAGGCCTTAAGGCAGAATTTTCTTACACTGGCACAAAATGTTTCATCACAAGAATATCTGAGTGATTTCTCTGTTATTAACATTTCCATAGCGTTTAAACTCAAACACATTCAGGTACATATAATACAGTACATGTTATTTGTTGACAGTTCAATGTCATATTATTCCAGCCTGACCCTAATCCCACAGAGACTCATTGTGTGTGTGTGTCTGCCCGAGGAAAATCCGACCCATTGTTCCTCTTGACAGGCTTTGATACAGAGTTAATCTGCAGGTTACAGGTGTGGCCAAACCCCCCCCCCCCCCAAAAGGACATACCTATACAAACATAAGGTTTTGTAATGAGCTAAAATATTCAGAGAAACGCAACAAACTTCACATAAATTGAAGTTGCTATTAAACAGGAAATTTGTTTTGCATTTTTTAAGTGAACAAAATTCGTTTTTTTCTCAAAATAGAATTTAATGGTTTGGGTTAGGGTTTAAATATCATGCAGTGTACAAAAATAAAACTGTCATTACATTTTAGTTGATTGCAGTGTTTCCCCGACCATTATATTTGGGGGTCGTGTCGCTGTGTCGGCATTTCGGCTTGTCCCCACCCCCCAACGCTGTAAACCTAGGGGAAACACTGGATTGCTTTCAGTTTGCACAAGTTTAACTGATTATATTAAATGGACCAGTGATAGTGTCTCATGTCATTGTATCAATATTACATCCTATCTGTGTCCAAAGGATCATAATAACGTCGTATCATAAAGCTTGTTATTCACAACCCTTTTGTCGGTTGTGGTGATATGTAGCTTAGTCAGTGGTCAGCAACTTTAGTTTGGACTAAATTGTGACAACTATTTGCTTGATTGCTCTCAGATTTGGTACAGAAATGTACTTCCCTTATATCCCTGTCAAAATGATTTTTTTTTATGTTCTTGTAACTTTTATATCTGTATTATCGGATCAAAATACATGCAAAAGTAAGGACACTTTCCATGAGCCTCAGCTGTACCTTGTATGTGTATTGCTTATTAGCAAATAGTAGCATGCTGACATGCTTAACTTCTACGGTGAACTGTAATCAGCAAGTTTACATTGCATAGAATACAGGCATAGCAGAATCATGCTTTTAATATTCAAAATTCTGATTGCGTGATTTTGTTTGCATTGATTCCCCACTAGTCTTAATTATTATCAGGGATTATATTGTGTATCAACAAGTAATGTGTTTTGCCTTGCCTTAGTTTGATGTTATCTCTGCAACTGTGTGCTTTACTGTATAATGGCTTAAAGGTTCATTATGTGCTTCATCAGATGCACTTTCTTAATCTTCTCTCTCACATGACCTGCGATTTAGCGCAATAATGTTAACCGAGCTGTTAGTGGTGCTACGAAGTGCTCTGAACTGTCTCTTTTCCCATTCATTTCCTGCCCTCTGTTCCTCTTCTACACAAATGCACTAATGAACAAGTTGGCTCCTTCATGTCAGTGGAAAAGATTCTTTCTAATCCTTACGTGTGTGATTGGTTGTTGATGTCATCTGGAGACTTTAGCCAATGGCAGCACTCAGATTAGAGAGGAAGTCAATCCAATCCAGAGTTCCTACATGCTCAGTGCAAATCTCACTGATCCCGGAATAGAAAACAAAGACGACACTCTGCAGTAGTCAACTACTTAATGTGAGACTTTCTGCACCACCAGAATATTGATAACCTGTAGACACTGAACTCATCTGCTGGTGAGTTGACCAACGATTTATTTTGAATGAGACTGATGATGCTGAATTATGATGAAAGTTGCTAAATTAGATAAAATAGTCTAACTGGAGGGTCAGTTAGGGGTTGGTCTGGAGCTTATCATATCACACTATCTGGCCCTGCAGATTGCGTTCTTTTGGGGGGCTGGGTGGAATTTGTAAACTTGAATTTCCAATTTCCTGTGCACCCAAACCTATTCAGACGATCATACAAAGAATAGATATTATATTAGGATGATTTCACATGTACATTTCTTTTTAGGATTGGAAGGAATGTATCTCTGCTGTGAGGGTTGTCTTGATGTTGCAGCTTAAAGAAAAAGTCTCAACATTTACACAAGTAAATGTTAAGCAAATCAACTAGACACATGCCCTAATGAAAGGCTTTCAAAGTTGGGATTTCATGCTAAATGAACATAATGTTATATTGTCAGGTGGTGTACTTACCAAAAGCTTCTCAACCTATTTCTCCCTCCTATTTTCTGTGCGTCTCTGCTTACAGATTCAGCCAGGAGAGCTCAGATAACGGAGGTGAGACGCGACTTCAATGCATCTCAGAATTGTCTCTTTTTCTGTCATTTGTACCGGTTTTCTGCATGCTTCAATTCAAACCTCGGTAGGGACAATATACATTATAATACCAATGTTAAGTATAACCTGCTGTTGTATTTCTCTTTTCTTTCCTTGTGACAGATGCCGTCCCCATTCGGCCCAGGCCATGAGAAAAAGATCGGCCACAGGAGGGTTGATGCCTCCGGAGAGACAACATACAAGAAGGTAAACTTTTTCTCTTTCTTTGTCTGTCTCTCTTTCTACTTTATGCCATGAATATTGTTTGTAGGTTTACTTATCATCACGATTTCACTAACTCATTCCACCCACACCGGCTTTCTCCACCTCCAGACCACCTCCTCTGCCTTGCAAGGGGCCATCCAGCTGGGCATTGGATATACTGTTGGCAACCTCAGCTCCAAGCCTGAGAGAGATGTGCTGATGCAGGACTTTTATGTTGTGGAAAGCATCTTCTTCCCCAGGTGTGTTTGTGTGAGAGGATGTTTATGTACACAAGTGTGTGATAAGTCACTTGAATAACTATTCATCTTCATCTCCTCTTCCATTTGGTCTGTCTACAGTGAAGGCAGTAACCTCACTCCAGCCCACCACTACCCAGACTTCAGGTTTAAAACCTACGCCCCTGTGGCCTTCAGGTACTTCAGAGAGCTGTTTGGGATCCGACCAGATGACTACCTGGTGAGATATTTATCACGTTGTTTTTATTTTGAACTGGTGATGCATTGTGAGAGGTTGAAGTGCTTTTAAAGTGAAACAATTTTTGTGTTACATACAGAATCAGCACTAAGGTTATGTTTTATGTATTCAAAGTTTATTTAACCAGGAAAGCCTCATTGAGATGAATAATCTCTCTTACAACACTGTCCTGGCTGAGACAGGCAGCTGCACATTTGACCAAAGTTACAGACATAACACGTAAAAACAATACAGGTTAACATACAGTATACCCCATCAAAGTGATTATTTGAATGAGAACACTGAAAACTCATGTAACCTGCTCATTCAAAATGTGATTATCATCAGACTGGTACTCTCCACTGATGAGTCTGGTTCTGCTTTGGGTTTCTGTTTGGGCTGGGCAATTAATCAAGTTTTAATTTCAATTATGATTTTGGCTTCCCAGGATCTTGAAAACAAGATAACCAAGATTAAACAATTACAGTGTGACGCATGCCATGTTGCGCTTGTTTTGTCTGTAGGTTTTATCATGTGTGGTAAATTAAGCATGTCCTCTGCCCCTTCCACTAAAACAGCTCTCACTTTAATTGAAGTAAGGAGCAGAGGGAGCCATGGCATGACATACTGGACTCTGTGGCTGCTACTCTTTCTGTTTTGCTTTTATGTCCATCTCTCCATGTTTCAAACTGTTACATGCTGGATTGAGTACAAACATAGTTCATTTATTTGTATTTATTATTATATGTTATATTATAAATGTGATTATGCTTTTTGCCAAAAACTAGCAGCCCTAGTTTCTGTCTCTTAAAACAAAGTTTTTCCTTGCTACTGTTGCAAATATTATGATCATAGAGAAAGGTGTAGCCATGCTCTGTATGGAAAGAGTCATGAAATATAACTGTTGTTGTGCTTAATAGATAAAAATTAAATCGTTGATTGATTATATAATATAATATATTTATATATAAAATGTATACCTCCTGACAGCTCTTACTACAAGGCCTCTGTGATTTCTCACACAGTCTCATTCTATGACCTCAAAAAGAAGGATCATGTTATGCATCACATTGCTTTGAATTCATATGATATTTTTGAATGCATTACATTTTGTATAAATGTGAGTGTATTTTGAGTGAATTGGTGTTAATTTATATTTTTTTCTAACCTTTATAATAACCTTAATTTGTAGAGCACTTTTCAAAATCAAAGTCACAAGGATAGCCAAATAAAACATAAAACAGGCAGATCATATAATCATATCAAAGATAAAGAAATAAACAGTTTTAATACATCAAACTCATTTAAAATCATATTTTTATCAGTTGTCTGGAAAATCTCTGATCTATGCCTCCTGCTTGCTGCTTACAGCAGTGTTGTTAACACCATACCACTTAACAATGGTGAACGAAAAGATTTGTCTGAAGTTCTGTTTGAAATTTTTTAAATGATGATAAGTGGATTTATCAAAGAAAACATGTTCACTCCCTTCATGAACATTAAACGCCTACTCACATGAAAAGATATCGAAGGCGATGAACAATGGTGAAAAAACACGTGCTGTTACATATTTTGCATGGGAGGCAGCACATCTACAGTACAAATACACGCACATGCATCGACATACAGTATTCTTGGCCTCACGTTTAAGCTCACGGTCTCCCTTTGCCAAAGGGAGATTAGCAGACTAAAGCTTTCTTTTTTAAACTCCAAGTGCTGACAGCAGACAGTCAGAGTGTTTTTTTTTTTTGTCTGTGTGTTGGTGGAGGAGAGGTGGAGCACAGGTATAATTGCATTGTGCTGATTTAGAAAGCTGCGAAATTGAATTACTTTGTTCGACAAATTAACTAAAATCCACGGACACGTCCTCCTACTTTACAGTAAAAGTGTCCTGATTATAACCAATTTAACAGAACTAATGCCGTTATTTATAAAGTCTTAACGGTTCCTCATCATTGAAAGATATTAAGTGTCATTTTAAGTCAGCTGTTGCCTACTTCAGTGTTTGTGTTAAGCTGCTATGTGTGCAGTTTAAAATGGTTAAGTTACTGATTCTAAATGAATGTGTAAGTGTCATAATGAACAGTTGAGACTCTTAACAGTGTGGATGTGCGATTCTTCCCTCCCACACACAGAACGCCTTTCTACTCAGTCGTGTACACAGTTGCACTTTAAAGCAAAGTTCCTTTCTTGCTCAGCTGCTGATGAGCAATGCCATGTGAGTGGGTAGAGGTGTTAGTCTTTTGGTTGGCTTTTTGTAAGCTCTGTTGGATCCCACATTAACAGCGCTACACAGCCCTGCTGTACCCATGAAGTGTTCAACTAAGGATGAAATTATAAACTCGGGTTAAGCAAATCACTCAATTAAACATTTTTCAAAGACATTTGGCAAAGAGACACACTCTTCTTTTTCTAGTCTGCTTTTTACTGTTGTATGTTGAAACAGTCTTTTCAGAGATTGTGGTTTCAGATTGTCAAACTTTACTGTAGGTTTTAAACACCAATGTAATGTTAATCTTGTCTCCCTGTGTCTCTATCCCCCCAGTATTCTCTGTGTAACGAGCCGCTGATTGAGCTGACAAACCCAGGAGCTAGTGGCTCCATATTCTACGTAACCCGCGATGATGAGTTCATCGTTAAAACTGTTATGCACAAAGAGGCCGAGTTTCTACAGAAACTTCTTCCTGGATACTACATGGTAAGTCAAACCAAGCACCTTCCTCATAAGAATCCATTTACCTAAACCAAGAACAAACTCAGTTAAGTGAACAGTTTTGCATCGAGCATGCATGAATGGAATTCACATCCCAGACATATAACAAGGAAAACTCTATTTTAGTTTTTATTAAAGCTGCATGTTTTGACAGAGTATTGTGAATACATATTATATATTATATAATGATAAGAATCATCATCATTTCTGTGAGCCAGCTGGCTGAAAATCTAATTAATATGAAGGTTGTTGTGTGGTGTGGCTGGAGAGGGTCAGTATGTGCCTGTGGTCATAGTAATATGACTGAGTGCATTAGACTGTTTGTCTATTCGTGTGTGCTAATGTATGTATTTTTGTGTATTTGTGTTTGCATCAAGTGGCGAACTCTGGTGTTGAAAGATTTAAGCCAATGCGAAAATGCAAAAAACTGTAGTTAATAAGCACATTGTGTGTGTAGGTAGGAACAAAAATGGCTTTACATAGAATTACGTGACTATGAGAGCTTTCAGTTGCTCAGTTACAGTTGGTTTAGGTTGGGTTTCTCACTATGTTGTTCTTAAACGACAGAAAAGTCTATTTTAACCTGTGGTTGCAAGACACAAAAGGTGTTATAGGAAAACGTGCCAAAAGTGACAAAAGGTTGTTAAGTACTAAACCAATAATGATAAGAATAATTCTAATAATAGTAATGATGATAATAATAATTATGGTTATTATTATTATTGTAAAAGGAAGCAGAAAAAAAACTAAATCATTTAAAACAGTAATTTCTGCAATCAATAGGTCAACATTAAATACATCTTATCAGTTCTGTTGCCAGAAGCTGACCTCATATTGTGACTGTGTTCATTTTTTGTCATGTCCTGTAAGTGTTGTAATGTTGTGTTCTGAGGAAAGTGGTTATATAGGATGTTGTCCTGTTGTGAGATGTCACCACACAGTCACACTCTAAAGGTGGTTTTGTTCCTCAGGAATATTTGGGCTAATTGGGATCCTAATAAACTAAAGTACCGTTAAATGTACCGATTTAATGCCTAGTCCTTTTTACTGGCCTGTTGTTGATGCACGTTTTGACCAATAAAGAAAGACGCGTCTCAATTAGAGGAGCCAATGCGTCTAGTGTCGAAATATAAAAATAAGGAGAAAACGCTGTATGGCTCCAAGAAAGAAAGAATAATGCTCATATGTGTACAGGCCATGAAGCAGGTTTGAATGCTGTTTTGCCAGCAAGATTAAGTGATTTAATTTTGTTAATTGATATGCTACGTTTTCTCACAGCTAAATATTCTTTCTGCTGTCATTTTTCTATTTCATAGTCTTTCTCATCTTTGCTGCCTGCATGTGCACGAGTTTTGCTTGAAAATAATTAAAGTCCCGTCTTGTATTGACGCCTGTCGCAAATAAAGGCAGGGCCATTTTACAGACTGAAGTAAATAAAAACCATCGCTATCACATGCATTGCAACCTCAATAGAACAGGACATCGCACATCCACTGAACACTCACCTCACCCCACTTCCCTCAGGACGGAGGTACAGAGCACTGAGGTGCAGAAGGGCTCGCCTTGGGAAAAGCCTGATCTCTGCTGTCATAGCGGCCCTGAACAAACTTCCTGAACAGGCCAGAGAGGGAACTTGATTGTTTTGCACTCTCTGTTTTGTTTATCTGCTGTTCTTTGGTGGGAATTGTCTGTCTGTGAAGAGGAGTTTTACGCTACACTCTGGAGTTTCCAATACTTTAGTTTCTACATGTTTAATATGTAATTATAATAAATTAAATACATTTTTTTGGTTTAAAATTCCGTTGCTAGCACAGACACATTCATCAGCTAAACACAACACGCACTAAAAGGGTAAATTAATGTAAAGAATGAATGTTTTAATAGACTTTTTTTTTAATCTGCAGGTACATAAAAAGGTGTGATATATTCTAGATTAACTCTTTGCCCCCATTAGGAAAGGCCCGACCGTGAACATTTTTGTAATACAGTCTCTATTCAGAGTTCTGGTTGGGTAGACACGGGACATGAGCGCATGGTCAGTGGCAAAACACTCGCTGAAACTTCCAGTGATCTTTATCCTCTTTATCCTGCCCCCTGTTGTTTGCCCAAGTAGCAGTGACGTCAGCAGTTGACTCTAATAGAACTGAGCGGCAAGGTTTGTTCCTGACAGAGACACGGGCTAAGTACTATTAACAAAGTTAATCATGCTAACTGGAGAAACGCACTTGTATGGGCTGATGCCTGTGGATGTCATTCTGTCCTGCAGGTGCATGGTGCTGCAGCCAAAATACATCAGGCTGTGTGTATGGGTGCATCATTTGGTGCAAAACTAGGTGCAAAGGGCAAATGGGATTTCTGTAAACTCTTAATAATTTGCATTTTAAACTTAACATGATACATTTATTCAGAGTTGAATCTTCCATGCCCAGTTGCGCTTACATCTAATGCGTCTCTATTTGATGCTAGATTTGAGCTGTTTTTAAGGCTGCGGTCACTTAGACTCACTGTGCCCATGTACACAAGAGCGCACAGTCAATGACATTTTGTGATGCACAGGTTTTAAGTTTTGTCTCCTGCACATCCCACCATACCAGAACCCGTTAGTTCATTTCTACATTAAATAAGACGCTGTGCACAATTATGCGCGAGGCACAGCAGCATAACTTCATTTATTATTTTAATCTCCAAAAATGCAATGGGATTGGTTTAGATTTAATGTAAATGAATGTTCTTTGGTTATTTGGCATTTAAAAAAAAGGTTTTCAGTAAATCTAGATCTATTATATCAGCTATTTCACATGGCTGTTTTCTCTAATGCATTTGTAAAGGACACTGGACAGTAATACTGTTTGAGAGAGTGTACGTCATAGAGAAGTGGGTGTTGGGGCTGTAGGAGAAAACTACCTAAGGTACCTGTGTCTCTGTCCTCCTGCACAATGCCAAAGCAGGATAATGATGTTAGGGAAACAAAGGTTATCTGCCTCTAAGACCTGTATCCTTGACTTTAGACTTTAGACCAGCAATTACAGTACTTTGGCTGCCTTTGGAAAGCAATAGAGCACACTGAGCCTTTAATTATTACACATCTCCGGTGCTGCGCTTTCCCTGCACTGTATGCCGTTTAGCTCAGGATGTAGGAAAGGGCTAATAGACTGCATACCATACTTAAATAATGCTTGTAATTCTTAAATAATTTCTCTCTTTTTTTTCTACCATTGTCTGTTTTATGAACCCAGAACCTGAACCAGAACCCTCGGACTTTGCTGCCAAAGTTTTTTGGCCTCTACTGCGTCCAGTGTGGGGGCAAGAACATCAGAGTTGTTGTGATGAACAATATTTTACCGCGCTCTGTACGCATGCACCTCAAGTTTGATCTGAAGGGGTCCACGTACAAGAGGAGAGCATCCAAGAAGGAGAGGAGAAATCAAAACCCACTTTTAAAGACCTGGACTTTTTGAATGACATTCCTGAGGGCCTCAATCTGGACCAAGACACGTACAGCGCTCTGGTCAAAACACTTCAGAGAGACTGCCTGGTGAGAAAATCTATGCAGTTGATTTTTAAAAAAAAAAAATTTTAAAGTCACTCGGCAAACCAAACAGAGGCTATATTGTTCAGAAGTTTACTGTAAATAAAAAAAGCAAAGGAATATAAAAGTATGAAGCAGCTGAAAATGTTCTCACATATCATAACTGTTTCCCTTCAGGTTCTGGAGAGTTTTAAGATTATGGACTACAGTTTGCTGCTGGGGGTCCACAACAAGAGCCAAGCAGAGCGAGACCAGCAGTCTCAGGGCTCACCTGCAGGAGGCGGGGATGAAACCAAGCGTGCAGCTCAGAGAGCTTTATATTCCACTGCCATGGAGTCCATACAGGGAGGCTCCACATGCAGAGACACCCTGGACCATGATGACACGTACGTCAATTCAGTTTGTTGCCCTCATTTCACATGACATCTATAGATGATGGTAATTTACTCTTTCCTGTTTGCAGTATGGGCGGAATTCCAGCTGTGGGCGCTAAAGGAGAGCACCTCCTGCTGTTCATTGGAATCATTGACATTCTGCAGTCCTACAGGTAGGCAGCCCAAATAACAAACACAAGGTTCCATGAAATATAGGTAAATGATTGACTTTAAGAAAAGGCTAGTATTACAGTATACATTAAGGATGTATGGTAAATGTAGATTTGATTTAAAAACACCACTAACCAAAACTAGTGTCCGTCTCTATGGTAACCAGTTGTTTCCAGCAGCATAACATTTTTCGTAATATTGAATTCAAGTTTTCAAAGTTAATTTAAAATGGAGGTGTATTGTCATTCAAAGTGCTCTACTAATACCTTGACTTCTCCTCTCGTAACTGCCGTACTCATCATTTCAGTCAAATACTCAAAGGACATTTCAGGAGATATTAAATGACAAAGTTGGATTTTTGTCTGGCTACAAGGGCAGGAAATGATTAGGTTTAGGCTTACAGTAATCCTGGCATTATGTGTCTACAAGGAATATTAAAAGGCAGCGAGAGCACAGCGGAAAAAACGAATCCCAGATGCATCTGTTTCTACATAAATACAAGTAGAGACACAAAACAGCTGTTGCCAGGACAAACATGGACACAATAACTGTGTGTTGCCCTGCACAAAATCAAGTATTAAGATATGCATTAAAAAAAAGTGGGACTGAAGTTACTCATTCAGCCTTGTGTTGCCAGGTAACTACAGTTAGTTGTTCAATGACTTTAACCAAATGATTTAATTGTCTTGTCTGACAGACTGATCAAGAAGCTGGAGCACTCTTGGAAGTCCCTCATTCATGACGGGGTGAGTTACATAACTGTCTGTGATCAAGAAAAGAAAAGACAAAGTCACTGAACTGTTTCTAATTTTTTGTCACAGTGTCTGTTTTTTATTTGAAAAGGTTAATAAATGTAACCCTTTTTTGTTTTAAAAGTGTAACATTAATACAATATCTTGAATTTCCTTTTCTTCCATTCTGTTCATTGTTCTGCCTCAACCCTCCACAGGACACAGTGTCAGTTCACAGACCTGGTTTCTACGCTGAGAGATTCTTCAAATTCTGCAGCACCATCGTCTTCAAGAAGAGCTGCTGTTAGTGAACACATTTTTATGAGCCATATCCTCCTGTGCCAATGCCAAAATACTGTACAAATATTACACTTTTTACTTTTTACTTTTTGATGTGAGAATATTCAAAATGTCCCGTGCTTTCACAGCACTGCGATCTTCTCCATCTAAGAGAGGACGAGGGCCTCTCATGTCCAAGTCCAGTGCTGGAACGGGTTCAATTGGAAAGCGTCCCTCAGTAAGTGATGACCAGCAGGAAAACCAGGACAACTTGGATAACTTACGAGGAGCTCGAAGCTTTCCCATGCTGGAGGACAACGGTATAACTTTTACACTCTTTTACTTCTGTATTAATCCAACAATGAGATAAGTTACACACTGCATCCATTAAGGATTCTCAACCAAGATGTAAAAAGGGATCCTTGATACTATTACACCTAAACTGGGTACTATAGGACTCTTTGGCAATGTGTCAGTAGCCTTTTTCAAAGTTTGTGAGAGGATGCTTTTGCAGCTTACTAGTGCTGCTTGAATAAATAGTTGAGAACAAAGATAGACCTTTGAGTGCTGGTTCTCCCTTGTTACACAGAGCCTCTCTGAACTTGGCACACTATTAGCTTCAATTGTCTGCAGCTGAGAGCTCCATTTTCCCTCTAAATTAAATGAAGTGAGCCTCTACCGATCCCTGAGGAGAAGTGGAAGAGCAGCAGCAGTAGTATAAAGCAAAGTAAAACTTTTAACAAAGCGAGACAAGATATTCATTAATAAAAAACTATGTAAAGTATGATAGATGTAGATAAAACATTATGTCCGGTCCACTTTTACTTAGCTTCCTGGTTGAAAGGTTTGATGGAAATACCAATAATTCATTTGTTAAAGGCTGATTTTGGTGAAGCAAATCATTTCAGATTTTGGTCTTTTTTTTATATTTCACATATTGCGTTTATAAATCATGATCTCTTTTTTTACTTATTTGGTAAATATCAGGAAAAGAGCCACCCTGCACTCCTCCTTCTTTTGAAGATGCCACCACAGCTTCTATTGCAACCACCCTCTCCTCTAACAACTCCTTACCCACAACCCCCTTCGATACACCTGAGCACCCGCGCTACAGGAGACAGATGCATTCCCCAAGTGTGGCAAGGTAAGAATGATTACATAATTATTTACTAATGTATCTAGAATGATGATATTCTGAAAGAAAATGTGTCTTCCCTTCAAACATTAAACCCTGCATCATCCTGTGTGCTTTCAGGTCACAGAAAGTTGATGGGGAGAAGCAGGACACCATAACAGTTCAGGTTGAGCTCAGGTACATGCAAACAGAAATTCTAAAATAGAGAATTGTCCATAACTGTGTTGCAAAGTTTGAGTCGTATTGTGAAAACTCTTTTCATTCTTGTTTTAAACAGTAAAATCCCAAAGAGCACAGAGCTCACACAGCTGACAGAAGAAACCTCCCCCAGCCACTTGTCACCTGATCGTATCATTCCTTCATCCCTCCCTCCCTCTACCAGTCCAACCTCCACACATTCCTCCGCCACTCTTCCTCCTTCCTTCATGTCTTCCTCCTCTACCTCCCAATCAGTCGGCCAAACCTCCGCCACACTTTCCTCATCCATCCGTCCCTCAACCAAACCCCTTACCTCTCCAACAGCCGATCAGTCTTCCACTCTCTCTTCTCCAGCTGCAAAATCCATGTTTCTTGCCCCTGTCCCAAACACCTCCACAGTCCCTCCTGCCTCAGCGTTCACTCCAATCTGCCCCGCATCTCCTAACTCCTCCACCCAGAGCTCACCTCACCACCTCCCCTCCTCTATTCCTGCAAGCCCCCAGAGGCCTCAGCGGGCGTCGCGTCCATCATGCAATCAGCTGTCTTTGTCAAGCAGCCACAACTCACTGGATGGGGAGGTGCCGGTGTCCGACATCTACTTTGTAAGTTTCTGAAATTATGTCTCAGCCTTCTCATTTGTGCTGGGGATGTAAAAATAAGAAGAGCTAATGAAGCTGCTTAAAAGTAGTGAAACAAAAGCAGAAAAGCTGGAAATGAACTGCCATGTGTCCAAAAAACAGACAATAAGTTTTCATGTGTAAGAATGGACAATTACTTTAACTTGTTCAACTAAAGATTTAAAATATCAGATCACATTTCCTAGAGCGGTCAGTACACTGCAGGAAGCCCTCTTTGGGGTTGTTTTGTTGTCAGTCCTCTAACAGAGGGTAAAGACCGTTTTTCTTCTCTGGGTCTCTTGCAGTGGCCCAGTCAGGACAGCGTGGTAGAGTTATGATGGTGAGGGGGTGGAGGCTGTGTGTGTGTGTTGTAGTCTGCACGTACTTGGGGGTTGCTCTCGCTCTCAAAGCAGTTTTTTTTTTCTGAAGCAAGAGGCTGCCAGCAGTCAAAGTTCATGCTTTTGAATGACTCAGCAAAACATCAGGGCTGTCTTTCCTGCAGAGCATGATGTATTTATATCTGTCAATCTGCATTCCCGCATCCTGTCAATCTCAATGGCAGTTTCCATTATTCTCCCTTTTTGTGGAACTTTCAATACCATTACATTGTATTGGACATTCTCCATTCTCCTCTTGCTCTCCTCTTTCTTTTCTCATTCACATCTTACTTTTCTCTTTAGTAATAATTCATTAATTTATCATCCCTTTATTTTCCTGCGCACTCTTTATGTGGATTCATGTGTTCATCTGTGTGTGTGTGTGTGTGTGTGTTCATCCATTAGTATGCAGATGGCAGATATTGGGTGTACTCTCCAGTTCTTGGCCGCCGTAAGCTAAACTCTAGCTCAAGCTCCAATGTAAGTCATCACAAAGTAGTTCGGGTCATGTGTTCCACATCCCATCCCAATGCTGGTAACTGTCAGAACGCAGCTTGTTATGGATCTTCAGAAGTACTTAAGGTTCAACTGTATCTCCCACGACTTATTTTGTGGTAATGCCTGCAAAAAAAAAAAGGCATTGCATATTAATATGTGCAGCTTCTGAAGGGCCATCATGTGCATTGATATGGAGCATGCATACTTGTGTAACATGTTAGCAGCAGTAAACTGTAGTTTCGGTGTGTGAGGACCTCAGAACTGCATCTGGAGCCGACTGTTTAGTGTTTACAGTGCTCAGCTAGATTGAGATCTCCTTTCTCACATTGAAAATCACCTGCTTATTAAAGCTCCTTCTCACTTCACACTATTGAAAGGCAAAACTTAAATAAGAATGCAGTAATATCTTCAATGTCAGTACCAAAACTCATCTGAAGATTGTATGGATATTTAGGTTTCCACAAACATATGTATATATCAAGAACATATGTTCTTTGTAACTGACAGCCTGTAAGTTTAGTTCAGCTGTAATCATCCCACCTTCACATTGAGGAAGAGGAAAATCCTCTTGATGCAGTATAAAACTCCCAAATATAAACTATAACTAAAAAAGCCCCAAAACCATCTCTCTCTTGCTCTTCTCTCATGATTCTCCTCTTTTCTCCTTTCTTGTGCTGCTGCCCTCTGCTGGCTATTTTCAAAACCAGCAGAATCAGGAGGACCGAGGCTGGGTGTACTCTCCTCTGCACTGCAGCTCAGAGTCCAGAAGAGACTCAGAAGGGGAGAGCGATACAGTGAGTACAGCTCACTCTTTAATTATTATGTCTCTCTTACTATCTACCTTTCTTAAACTTCTCTCTCTGCTCTTTCAGTAACTCAAAGCGGAGTCAGCAGTGATGGGTGGAGCCAGATGCCGTCTCCATACACAGAAGCTGGTTGCCAAAACTTCATGTGGAGTTTTGCAGAGGCTAAAGGCAAACATACACTAAATTAAATTAAAAAAAAAAAAAAAAAGACGCACTGAGTCTGCGAGCAAAAAAATATGCAAAATAAAACCTCAAGGCATGGAGTCCTGGACAATCTGACTGACATTAATACAAGAAGTAAACAGAGATCACATGGTACAAACAGCTGGAGGGCACTGTGAACAACTTAGGTTGCTGCTGTAATTTGAGGGCCATGCTGCACTGTGCCAGCTCTGGCTATGCAATACCAACATACAAAAACTCCAATCATGCATTTATTTTTCACTAAGGGCGTGGCAAAGTTGTATATACTTTAATTTATAGCACTTTATACATGTGGAGTCTGCAGTCATTTTTCTCTTTTGTGATCAGCTGTTGTTTGATGACACTCAAAACAGTTAATGTGTGTTATTGTGTGTGCTGTGTATGAACCGTGGTGGTCTGTCAGTGGTGGTCCACAGAAGATCTTACTTCAAGTTGACAATGAATGGTTGTATTCAAATTGCCTTATTGACTAACACATTTTCATACCTGTTTTTGATATCTTAATCACATGAAATCATGAAAAAGAATATTGTCATTAAATACCAAATCTTTTCAATCAGAGTCAAACGGTATAGTTAACATTAGCATTACAACCGTTCAGGATTTAAAACCAAGAGAATAACCGAGGACACAAAAAATTCAGTTTTCTTTCATAAAGTGTAAATAGAAAGTGTGTGTGTGCTGAAGCACAGGCATGTAAGTCTGTTGTGCCCGTTTGTGTTCATTTGTGCATGTGTTTGCATGCATATTGATGTGTGATTGGGAGATGTAAGTGAAAGTCCTGCTTAGTTGTCAAATTGTCAAAAGGTGTACGTTCTATTTGTTGTTATGGGCCATGAAAGTCTGGAGCAGCTGTGAGCATGTAAGCTGTGAGGGAAAAGAAAATGCCGTGTTATCAAATGACCAAACTAAACATAATGAGCTAAACTGAGTTAAACTGTTTTCTGTACAGTTCAGTAGCAAAATAACTAATATTACCACAAACGGTAGCCTTTTTCTTCTGTACATGGTGACGCTTGTTGCAACAAGATTGACCAGAATTAGACTTCCTGGCTGTATCATAAGCAGAGCTGTAACATATCACTGTATTCCTTGAGTCTGTTGATGCTAACCTGCCTGTTTGTAGGCAACAGTGTTTGTAGCTGATCACTGTGTAAAAGAAAATAAATATTATATTGTGTAATAAAAAGTCTGAGCTGATTTTGAAACACACATCGCACACAACCAGCTCCAAAAACAAGTGAAGAGAATATTTATTACGTTGTTGGCATTGTTTGCCCACTAGATGGAACCATTGTGTCTCAGAAGTATGGATCTCAATTTGACAAATCTCGAGAGGAACCTCACATTATTTTGGACTACTTTAAAATTCAAGACTTACTGTAGTTGCACTTTAAAATCAAACAGCACAGAGACATATGCCGATATATGAGCTGCCATCAGGCCATAATTCATTTGATTGTGTTCTTTATGGACTATAAAAGGGAGGGCCATATTTCAAACCTCACACCCCCCACATGTCACTGTCTTTTACACACACACACACACACACACACACACACACACACACACACACACATCAAATCTTGATTTGTTTCATGCTGCTGGCATCTTATTTGTCTTCACAGGCTTTGGTGCTAAAATAAATTGGCATAAAACAGATAAGGATCAATATGGCTTCAACCAATACAGCCTATTGGGATCCTAGCTGGCTCTCTGCAATAACACAGACTCTATTTATACATTTAATACACACAAATACAAATATAAATGGGACAAGGAAGGGGAGAGGGAACATAACCATTTTGGTCAAAAATCGCCCCCCTAACAAGTAACAGTGAAAGCAGAGTGTGTTGGCTGTATTCCACACATGTGCGGGTACGCTTGCATTACTGTGTGCATGCGTGTGCTTTATGTGTAAGCCAGAGTTGTGAATGTGACTCAAGGTGACAAGTCAGCCATGTCGGTCCATGATGGAATGTGTGATGGACATGGATCAGCAGCCACCTGCTCAATTGTACTGGAATGAAATTGTTCCTCTCTTTCCTTTCCTTCCACTTTTTGTCCTTCTACCTCACACGCGCACGCAGACACACACACACACACACACACACACACACACACACACACACACACCTTTAAACCTTCTGCTCCATGCCTCCAGATTTCTTTCTCGCTAACATTCAGCCATGGGTTTCCTTCATCAGTTCAGTGGGGAAACTGACTGACTTTCTGTGCTCATTAATGCACGTGAGTAAAGATATAATATTTTGGTCAACAAATATAATTGACACAGAATGTTGTAAAGGCACGTGACCAAAATCTGCTGGTTTTCAGCCTGCTCTGCTCTGACCGGTGACCGGACAGTCACTAGTAGAGCCGATTTTGTGCCAAACTCAGACTCACACACAGAAGCCGTTTCATGCCGTGCACACAGCTACACACACACACACTAACGGACAGCCACACACACAAGCTAACATGTCGGTAGTGTAGTGTAGTGCCAATCAGCAGAGGAGAAAATGGTTTGACATACAGGAGGATACACGCACCGTTTCCCTGCACTTGCTCCCTCCTCACCTGTCTGCCCACAGCAGAGCCACGTGTACTGGGGGTGCATTGCACCTCAAAATGTTTAATTAATATTCCTGTAATATTATTTGGTCACGGAGGAACACTTAAATGATAAATGCTCAGTGTATGAGCGCGTTATTAAAAAGTTTCACCTGATGTGAGAAGTATCACTTTGCAGGAAATATTATAGAATAGGCTAGTTAACAGACAAACATGATACAAAATCTTTGCATCTTTGGCTACTGTTCAGTGAGGCAGTCAGAAACAGAGGCAGACAGGTAGTGATCATTTCTTCAGGAGTCGTGGAGAATTCGGCTGAAGAGAGTGAAGCAGTAAACTTCTCTGTTTCTATAATTTGATTAATTAACGAGATACGTACAAAAAATTAGCTAAAGAGTGTTAATAATGGCTCTTTAAATCTGCTGCTTTATATTAGAAGATAATGAAATACCTGTTTTTGTTTTACTTTACATATGAACACTTCCACCATAAATAATGGCATATAGAATAAAGGAGACTACAGGTCACAAAGGGTTTGACACTAAAAATGTTCTATTGGAGATTCGTTTGAGATCGAGAGATGGTCATGTTCTGTTTTTAAGATTTCTTGTAATAAACAGTTACTGAAAATTAGGTGTTTTATCGTAAACATAAAATGTATTTCAATCAAAGAAAAGTTCCTAAAGGTATTTGTTTTTGTTTGGCCAAAGAAATAACAATTAGTGAATCTCTACTCAGGATGATATCTGTCCTCTGATTACTGATTCGTGATCCAATGAGTTCAGTTTCTGTTTCTGTGTTTGTGTTCTTATCTGTTATCCAATGAAATGAGTGAGATCAGATGTCCTCTTGTGGCAGATCCTACATTGACCCCACCGCTTCCTTGACTGTCCACAGACTCTGGTTGGGCTCGCCATCATGGAATCCTCCAGATTCTACTGCAGATCAATAGAAGGAAAAACAATAATCAACCAGTTCTTTCTACTCTCTCACTTCTGTTTCTTACATGAGATCTCATAAACTAATTTTCTTCCATCTTAGTCTCTTATCATGTTCAACCAAAAAGTGATTAAATACTTCAATAATAATAAAAACGAGTTACCATACAGTATTTGAAACACAGTAGCCTAAACTTTTGTAACACCAAACAATAAATTATGTATCTTTTTTTAACACCCTTTACGGTATTTATTCACTTTTATTACCTTAAATTATAATCTAACATATTGAGAGCTTAAAAATGAAATGAACAGCATTATCATGAATGTGAATTGAATTATTATGCGCGTTAAATGAACAGGTACATTTTACTAACCACCAGGTGTGACATACCATTGCCATGTCTCCTGACAAACCAATAACATTTATCCCTCATATAAACAAAACAGCTGACTTGTCAAAACATGCACCCATCAATATCCTTTTTGAACCAGGCTGTAAACGTGTTACTTTATGCTGTTAAAACTGACTTTTTTTGACTGGGTGCGTGTGTGAGTTCCGGTGCTTCTGTAGGATTTTCCACTTCCGCATTAGCTTCATTTTTCAACATCTTAGGTTGGAGCTTGGCTGCACGTATCATCCTTGATCTCTACAGGATGTATAATGCGCCACAATTTAGGTCAGATGGTAGACCAGGCATCCCGTGTGTAACCAGGCTACAATCCTCGAACTGGTCACACTTACGACTCCAGATCCTGACAAGTTTGCTGCATGTCATCCCCCACTTTCGCCCCACATTTCCTGTCTCTCTACATCTGTCCTGTCAAATAAAGGCCAAAAAGACTAAAAAATAATCTATAACAAAAAACAACGACAATACTTTTCTTTTTTTTTGTCATTATGTTGCAACTCCTTCTCCTGCATTTTGTCAAGTGCATGCTGGGATAGCTTAGGACACCTGTTACTTTGAACAGAAAAAGAATGGCAATGATTATCATACACCCCCACAGAAAGGGACAATACAAAGCAAAAATTAGTTGACTACAAAAAACAGACAAAGTTGTTATTTTCTAAAACAGATATAAAGAAAAATTATTCGCATCAAAATCTAAACATGGGCTGGAGCCATAGACTGGGTGGAACAGGCTGTCACAATGTGGAGCTTTTATCTGCGGGAAACATAAACAAATGCCTTTGTTCCTTCAAAGGACAGAGGGGCAAAAGCCACAACAAACTGTGTGTGTGTGTGTGTGTGTGTGTGTGTGTGTGTGTGTGTGTGTGTGTGTGTGTGTGTGTGTGTGTGTGTGTGTGTGTGTGTGTGTGTGTGTGTGTGTGCGCGTGTGTGTGTGTCTTGCACGTGAAAGGAAGAGAAAGGGAGAAAGGAGAGAGAGCAGAGAGATCAAAGCAGGGGGTATGTTTTTGAATCTCTGTGTGGGAGGTGCAGCCTCACCTACCCAGAATGCCTTGCCTCACTCCTCACAACCCACTCAGGTTTTTCAGGAGCATCACTTCTTTTCTCTTAACAGCAGGCAGATTATGATACTTTCTCTTTGTCAGTCATCCCAGCTATTCTCAGAGCGCATTGAAACGGTGACTTGGTGTGAACCAGCAGTTGACCTCTGATCAGCGATACAGAAAATGCATTTCCTTTGCATAGTGTTAACATTTCAAAAGTTATATAACAGTTATTTTCTGACTAGTAATCTGATTGGATCAAGGTATTTATGAGTGCTGATATACAATATGACAGCACAGTTTTACTCTGCTGCAGGAGCTAACTGACTTGGATGGAATGAAAACACACTTAAAAAATGTGTGTCATAAAAAGAAGAAAGAATGCAGAAACACTTTTATTTATAGAAAGAAAAAAGGTTGAAACGAGTGCTGAACTGGGTCAAAAAATGTAGATCAGGTGCTCTTCAAGAACAGGGGACAGAAGTCAAATAGCTAATAAAGAGTTGACTGTCCTGACAAAATTTGTATGGTGGAAAGGCAGTTTAAACTGAAAGTCCGAGGCACTCTGATGCAGTATAAAAATCCTTT